TCTTACCCAACTCTCTAAGTACTCACTGTGTTAGGATGAGTAGACTGGCAGGTAGAACTATCTGCCCCTCCTCGCTAGAATGTAAACCCATTCCTGTGGGGCAGGACCACAGGACAACACTGGCAGACCCAGGAGTGCAGATGGGAAGATATTCATCTTTTGGCCCAAGCCATGACTTAAGTAGTGTGGCCTGCTCCTCCCACTGCCTGGACACACAGCCAGCTCACCCAGGCTGCTGCCTTCTGGGTGTCAGTTGATCACCCAGAAGTGATCTGGGTCCAGGATCATTGTCTCTGAACTCTAAGATCACGGACTGATAGAGGTCTTAAAGCCTTCCATCCCTTTTTATTTGGCAGATGGGGAAACTGAGCCTTGGGGATGTGGCATCAGCTTGCCATATTCCTTGCTCAACCACCCTTGTCTGCAATGGAGATTGGAATTTGGGTCACCCCTTTGCTGTAGGACTCTATCTGCAACCTTTTTGCTTTAATATTTTGTATCTTGACAAAAGGACTTGACCCAGTGCCAAAGACTAAACAGGAAGCTCCGGAGTGTTCATTTTGGGGAACAGCATTGCTTTGGGGGAAGAGCAAGAAAGCTTGGACCACTCAGGGCAACCCCATCTTGTTGATAATAATCACTTCCATGTTTTTAAGGTAGTTACATGGTGGTCAGCATATAGATGCCAGAAGCAGTCTTTCTGAGTTTGAACTCCAACTCTCCCACTTATGAGCTGCATGACTTTGGTTGAAAGGCTTAATCTCTCTATGCCTCGTTTTCTTCATCTGTAAGGTGGGAATCATAATGGTGTATATAAAAGCTTCCAGAATTGTGCCCAGCACATGGTAGGGGCTTGAGAAACAACAGTGATTATAATTCCTATTGCTGATCTTAATTAGTATAATTACCTGGGGAAACCTACATGAATATGCTGAAGTTTGCCAAGGACCACTTGCCAGAAACAACAGACCACAGAACCAACAGGGTTAACATCATGCCTTCTGAAAAAGTGGCCACAAATTGCATTTTTACAAAATCTAATTTTCTCATTAACCTCTTGTTTAGGAAACGCTTTGTCTTTGAAATCATGTGAGGACTCTGTCTTGGCTCGGCAGGAACTCTTCTAGCTTTAAGACATGAGCTTGCTGTTTCCTTTGCCTGGGACATTTTTACCTCCCACTCCCACCCGGAAGTCCATGCGGCTATCTTCATGACTTCCCGCACTTCTTTTCTCAGTTGTCTTCTCAGTGAGCCCACCCCTAGGCACCTGCTTAAAATCTCAGCTACCCTGCCCCTACACTTCATGCCTATCTTCTCAGATTGACCTTTTTCTTCTTGGCACCTTGTCTGACATACCATAATATTTATTTTGTTGGTTACTCATTCCCAACTGGAAGGTCTTTGAGGTCAGGGGTTTTGACCATTTTGTTTGTGGCATTTTCTCCAGTCCTCAGCACACAGCCAAGCACATAGTATGGACTCAGTGACTGTTGCATGTGTGAGTATGTAGGTGGGAAGGAGGATTTCCTGGCGGGTTCTGATTTTAGAATTCACCTGGTACAGCTGAGCTTCACCAAGCTGCTAGCTACCCTGTGCCAGCCGTGGGCAGTGACTGACATATGCCATTTCACTTCATCTTCACAGAAGCCTTATGGATGGGAAAGCCAGGGCTTAGAGAGGTTAAGAAACTTATCTGGCCGCCAGCTTATAGGTGGCAGAGCCTGAGGACTGTGCTTTCTCGTCCTGGACAGAAAGTGCTGCCTGTGCCCTCCCCTGTACCCAGCCTGTCAAGGAGGCCTCCCTGGGTGGTTTCTGAGCTGGCTGCTTTGCAGGGCTAGAAGGCCCATCCCTCCTCACCTGCCTGTGTCTGTGGGCGTCTCTTGGCAAGTGTGCTGTGTCAGGCGGCCCCGAGTGCTTTCAGCACTTGGGGGTGGCAGGCTAATTAACTGGCCTGCTGAGCAGCTGGTGGATGACTGGGGATTGTCTGAAACGTCTGCCTAGAACCACGACCTGGGGCAGGACTCCTTCCAGCAACTTCCCTGGAGAGCTGCCTGTAGGGCAGGGCCAAACCAACCATCATGATAGTGTGAAGGACGTTTTCTATCAAAAGAGGATGTTGGACAAGAGTTGGAAGGATTCTGGTTCTGATCCTGGCTTCCCACTAGCTAGTTGGATAAAACAGAGAAACCTGCAGAGTATTCCTAGTTCCCCCTGCTTACAAAATGTCAGCAGTAATCATGCTTACCTCCCAGACTTGTTAGGAAAATATATGCAATGTGATTAGCCCAGGTGCAAAAATAAATGTTAGATATTTTATATTTATTATGATTTATTACTAGCTACAACCTCCTATGTCTGTAAAATGAAGGGTTTTATTCAGTAGCCACAGGCCTGGCACATAGTAGGTCCTCAATTTATGTTAATTTCCTTTCTTTTTTTTTTAATTGCATTTTAGGTTTTGGGGTACATGTGAAGAACATGTAAGATTGTGGCATAGGTACACACATGGCAATGTGGTTTGCTGCCTTCCTCCCCATCACCTATATGTGGCATTTCTCCCCATGTTATCCGTCCTCAACTCCCAAAGCCCCGCTGTCTCTCCCCTATTTCCATCCCACAGACCCCAGTGTGTGATGCTCCCCTCCCTGTGTCCATGTGTTCTCATTGTTCAACACCCACTTATGATTGAGAACATGTGGTGTTTGATTTTCTGGTCTTGTGTCAGTTTGCTGAGAATGGTGGTTTCCAGCTTCATCCATGTCCCCACAAAGGACACAAACTCACTGTTTTTGATGGCTGCATAGTATTACATGGTGTATATGTGCCACATTTTCCTTCTCCAGTCTATCATCGATGGGCATTTGGGTTGGTTCCAAGTCTTTGCTATTGTAAACAGTGCCACAGTGAACATTCGTGTGTGTGTGTCCTTATAATAGAACGATTTATAATCCTTTGTATATATACCCAGTAATGCGATTGCTGGGTCAAATGGAATTTCTATTTCTAGGTCCTTGAGGAATTGCCAACCATTGTCTTTCACAAAGGTTGAACTAATTTACACTCCCAACAGCAGTGTAAAAGTGTTCACATCCTCTCCAGCATCTGTTGTCTCCAGATTTTTTAATGATTGCCATTCTAACTGGCGTGAGGTGGTATCTCAATGTGGTTTTGATTTGCATTTCTCTAATGACCAGTGATAATGAACATTTTTTTCATATGTTTGTTGGCCTCATATATGTCTTCTTTTGTAAAGTGTCTATTCATAACCTTCACCCACTTTTGAATGGGCTTGTTTGTCTTTTTCTTGTAAATCTGTTTTAGTTCTTTGTAGATTCTGAATATTAGCCCTTTGTCAGATGGGTAGATTGCAAACATTTTTTCCCATTCTGTTGGTTGCCGATTCACTCTAATGACTATTTCTTTTGCCGTGCAGAAGCTGTGGAGTTTGATTAGGTCCACTTTGTCTATTTTGGCTTTTGTTGCCAATGCTTTTGGTGTTTTAGTCATGAAGTCCTTGCCTATGCCTATGTCCTCAATGGTTTTGCCTAGATTTTCTTCTAGGGTTTTTATGGTGTTAGGTCTTATGTTTAAGTCTTTAATCCATCTGGAGTTAATTTTAGTGTAAGATGTCAGAAAGGGGTCCAGTTTCTGCTTTCTGCACATGGCTAGCCAGTTTTCCCAACACCATTTATTAAACAGGGAATCCTTTCCCCATTGCTTATTTTGGTCAGGTTTGTCAAAGATCAGATGGTTGTAGAGGTGTGGCATTGCCTCTGAGCCTCTGTTCTGTTCCATTGGTCTATATCTCTGTTTTGGTACCAATACCATGCTGTTTTGATTGCTGTAGCCTTGTAGTTAGTTTGAAGTCAGGTAGTGTGATGCCTCCAGCTTTGTTCTTTTTGTTTAGAATTAACTTGGCTATGTGGGCTCTCTTTTGGTTCCATATGAAGTTCAAGGTGTTTTTTTCCAGTTCTGTGAAGAAGGTCATTGGTAGCTTGATGGGAATAGTGTTGAATGTGTAAATTACTTTGGGCAGTATGGCCATTTTCACGATATTGATTCATCCTAACCATAAGCATGGAATGTTTCTCCATTTGTGTCCTCTCTTATTTCATTGAGCAGTGATTTGTAGTTCTCCTTGAAGAGGTCCTTTACATTCTTTGTTAGTTGTATTCCTAGGTATTTTATTCTCTTTGTAGTAACTGTGAATGGCAGTTCATTCTTGATTTGGCTCTCTTTAAGTCTGTTATTGGTGTATAGAAATGCTTGTGATTTCTGCACATTGATTTTGTATCCTGAGACTTTGCTGAAGTTGCTTATCAGTTTCAGGAGATTTTGGGCTGAGACAATGGGGTCTTCTAAACATACAATCATGTTGTCTGCAAATAGAGACAATTTGACTTCCTCTTTTTCTAATTGAATACCCTTTATTTCTTTTTCTTGCCAGATTGCTCTGGCTAGAACTTCCAATACTATATCGAATAGGAGTGGTGAGAGAAGGCATCCTTATCTAGTGCCAGATTCAAAGGGAATGCTTCCAGTTTTTGCCCATTCAGTATGGTATTGGCTGTTGATTTGTCGTAAATAGCTTTTATTATTTTGAGATACATCCATTCATACCTAGTTTATTGAGAGTTTTTAGCATAAAGGACAGTTGAATTTTGTCAAAGGCCTTCTCTGCATCAATTGAGATAATCATGAGGTTTTTGTCTTTGGTTCTGTTTGTGTGATGAATTACATTTATAGACTCGAGTATGTTGAACCAGCCTTGCATTCCTGGGATGAAGCCTACTTGATCATGGTGGATAGGCTTTTTAATGTGTTGTTGCAATCGGTTTGCCAGTATTTTATTGAAGATTTTTGCATCTATGTTCATTATGGATTTTGGCCTGATGTTTTCTTTTCTTGTTGAGTTTCTGCCAGGTTTTGGTATCAGGATGATGTTGGTCTCATAAAATGATTTGGGAAGGATTCCCTCTTTTTGGATTGTTTGGAATAGTACAAATACAGAATGCTTCACCAATTTGCATGTCATCCTTGTGCAGGTGCCATGCTAATTTTCTCTGTATCATTCCAATTTTAGTATATGTGCTGCCAAAACGAGCACGTTAATTCCCTTTCTTGTTCTTTATTCTTCCTTTAACATCAGATTCCTGGCCTATGCTATCCCTGGGGCTTCGACACTCCTGGCCTTGGCCTAGAGGTTTTCTGTGGGCTCGTGGCTAATGAGCCATCTTTCCAGGGCAGTGGGGCTCAGTGCTGGGGTGGCCATTCTGGAGCTATTGTATTAGAAACCTCCTTTTTTTTCTTTCTTTACTTCCTTCCTTCCATCCAATTTATTTTTATTGATCACCTAGTAAGTGCCAGATATAGTGAATACAGCTATGAGCAAAGTTCCTTCTACCGTGGAGCATTAGGTCCAGTTAGAGTTAGGTAGAAAGAAAGGAAACAAGCAACCATGCGAAAACATAAACCCTTTGAAAAGTGGAAAATAGAATGGTAGAATAGAAAGTGGTGAGTGTGGGGAGAAAAACAGAGCCATTTTAGATAAGCCACTTTAGATAGGGAGGAGGGAAGGCATCACTAGGAAAACAACATTTGAAGCAGGACTTGAAATGTCAGAACAGGCCAACCATACTCAACTGGGAGAGGGGTTTCCTGCTGAGGAAATGGCACAGGTGAAGGTCCTGAGGAGGGATGGAGCTTAGCTAGTTCCCCTGTACTTCCTAATGGGAAGTGCCCAGTAAAGCCACAGCTTTGCAATTCCAGCCCAGGCAAAGCAATCAGACTGCATCTTCAAGGGTTGGCTGCACTTAAGATCCTGGGTGCTGCCAGAATGTTCTTTTTGCAGTTAATTTGCTGCAACTGGCAGAGGTTAATCATGTCCATGTTCCTCAAGGACCCTGCCAAAGCTGGCCCTTCTCACAGATGCTGGTTTAAATTAGAGGGGTTGTTTGTGGAAGACTAGATTTCACAGTGATTAACCCCAAACTGGTCCTATTGCCTTGCCCTCCTGATGGGCAGGTGGAAGCACGCTGGGTGAGGCTGGCATCTAGCACAAGCAGTAGATGCTTATTCTTGCCAGTGCAATGATAAAGGAGCCCATCAGCTCTCCTCCTAAACCTGTGTGGGCTCCTACAGCAGCCAGAATGCCAGTCAGACCCACTGGTTTCCCATCCAAGGTGCTCCAGGCCTGGCCCCAGCCTCGCTCCTGCCTCTTCCTTGCTGTGCACACTCCTGCTCCTCTCCACACCTTTGCCTGTCTTGTCTCTGTACCCGCAGGAGAAGCTCTACTCATTTTTCCAGGCTATGCTCAGATTCTACCCCCATACAAGCTCCTCCTCAGACACCCCTGGGGAATTTCACCTTTTCTTCCCCATTCTTCTAGTTTCCCTTTGCACATAGCCCTTTAAGGTATTGGTCATCATCTATATTGTGTTGGGGAGACTGAGTTTCTACAAAAGTGGGAGCTCCTGATGGCCAGGGATCCACGTCATTTGTCTCTGCAGCTCCAGGGCCTAGCATGGGCTTCAGCATCTCATTCATTCAGTCATTCATTTAGCAAATGTGTGTTGAAGGTCACAGTACCAGGTACTACAAGAGGTAAGGGATTCATAGCTGTGGACAAGGTGTGTTTCCTACTTTTAATTTGCTCCTAGCCTAGAGGCCATTGTAAAAGGGATCAGACCCACTTGGCCAGAGCCTGAGCATCCTTGCCAGATTCTGATGCAAAAATCTGTTTCAAGCTACTTCAAACTTTTATAGTTCTTGAAGTCATAGAGAGGCTCTTAGCTGAATCCAAGGCAAGTGAACAGATTTCCCATCTGCAGAGTATTTTGAAACAGCTCTATTCTTACTCATGTTTTATTTATTTTTCTATTACAAAAATAATGCATACTAATTGTAGACAATATGGGGGGAAATACAAATCACCCATAATTCCACCACCCAGAAATAACCATTGTTGCTATTTTTGTATACTGAGATAGTTATTTGGGGATATTACTTAGAAATTGCTATAATATATAATTGCTGTTTATTAATTTATGCAAATATATGAATATGATTAGCTTGTATATATTTAGCTTGTTGTAAAACTTACACATTCCAGTGCCTGGAAATTTCAAAGATCTGCTGCTCCCAAAGAGGATTCTTAAACCTAACTCTGTTATGGCCCTTTTCATATGAATAACACATCTTTCCCTCCCTATCATCTCCCCCAGTCTGTGTGCTTCAGAAGGGCAGCCTGAACCATTCTCATCATTCCCTCTTGAGCACACAGTGCATAGCAGACACACAACATTGGATGGAACGGATGTGTCTGTGGCCCAGGGAAGGTGACCTGAGGTCCTTCCATTTGGCTGTCTTAGGGTGAGTGGCGCTGGTCATATATTTCTAAGGACAGCTCCCCCTTCTTTACTGTGTTCACTAAGGAATTAAAGTATCTTACCGCAGGAATCCCCGGGTGCCAGGAAGTGACTGGCACAAAGAAAGCCCTTAATCCATGTTTGTAAAAGCCCGAATGACCTGAATAACACCAGTTTGGGAAACAGTGTGCATGGGTTATCACCACAGCCCTATGACATGGGTCTAACAGTATCTTTATCACACGAGGAAACTGAGGCTCAGAGAGGTTAAGCAGTCTGTCCAGCATCAGTGTGTTGCCTCGCTGGTGAAAGCCGAATGTGTGGTTAGCCCCCATCAGCACTCTATTTGCTTCCTTTATGGGGCTGCTTTTCAGATACCTGTCCTCAGATCCCCACCGGGTGAAGGAACCTGTCAGCTGGTGCCCCTTCACTTTTCTAAGACTGGGTGAAATGCCACAAGGGTGGGGCCGCTGACAGGGAAGATCTGCCACATGGGAGCAGCCATCTGTGAACCACCTGGCCTTTGGGCCCTGACCCGGCCCCTCCTGGGCCCCTTAGATGCGCAGTCTAACCACTTCTCCCTGTGTCCTTCACCACCTATCTTTTTCACAGCTCTATTTCCCCTCTTGTCAACAGACCTCTCAACAAAATGTTTTCCATCACTGATGCCTATTTTTAGCCCCTTTATCGGAGTTATTTCCTTTGGTAAATAGCTTCCTGGCATGGGGCGAGCAGCCTAACTCGGGTGCCAGCAAGCACTGTGTGGATGGGGGTATGGGTTGGGCGGGCAACTGGGGTGAGAGGGAAGAATTGAGGAACCATGAGCCAGGCCCCACCTTTGGGGGCTACTTTCTGCTCTGATGGTAGCAGCCGCAGCAGAAGCAAGATGCTCATTCATTCCATTTCAAGTTGTTAAAACCATTCTTTGAGAAGGCAGCATGTGCACAGGCCTCGGAAGCAGACAATCAGCGACAGGCACCCAAAATAGACTCAAAATCAGCAGCATTTTGTTTTGCTCAAGGCTTTTCATGCCTGCAAGGGGAGGAAAGAAAGGATCCAGAGCATTTTCTGCTTCCAAACACACATCTATTTTACAATAAGACAAATGACTCGTATTCCTGCTATTAAATCCAGCAGCGTCCCCTCCCCACCACCCCTTCTCTGAAGCCCTCGCCAGCATTTCCTTTTGTGGCTGCAAGAGAAGCAAATAGCAGTTCACGCGTCTCCAGTGCAGAGTGCTTCTGCCTCCTCCAGCTCTGCCTGCGAGTTGGGCTTTTACAAGCTGAGATTTTCATAAATTAACGCTGCACGTGCTGCTGTAGCTGCCGTAATGGCTTTCCAGAAGGTGCTGTGAGCCAGGCCCTGCTGGAGAGAAAGAGCCAGTGATTTGCTTGTAGAAGGCTCTTGGCCCAAGTCAGAGGTTAAGCCAGGCAGTTGCAGATGTCCCAGGCTGCTCTCTGAGTACAACCCAATGTCATTGAGCCTCTAGAAGGGACATCAACTTGGGAGATTCCCTGGTGACCAAGGAGGCCACACATGTAGCAGATGAGTCCCAGTGGGAGAGCAGGATGCCTGAACTCCAGTCCCAGCCCTGCCCTGCCCTGTGGTGACATTGTGATATTGTCCAGCCACCATACTCTGGAGGTCAGTTCCTCCTAGTGTATACTCTGAGTACAGTGACACCTCCCATTTGTAGTACTTATTTAACACTTATTTGTGAAATATGTTGACCATGTAGGTCAGGGGTCTGCATACTTAGGCTCACGTGCCAAATCTGGCCACAACATTGATTATACATTATCTACAGCTGTTTTTGCACTACAGGGTGAGGTTGAGTAGTTGGGGCCATGCAGAGTGGATGGCCCCAAAGCCTAAAATATCTACCCTCTGGCTCTCAACAGGAAAAGTTTGCTACCTCTGGTCTAAGTGGTGAGTCCCAGGAGAGCAGAAACCCCTCTGGGAGGTTTAGGGACACATCACACACCCAAGATTACTCAGCTAGTAAGTGGCCTAAAAGTAAATGCATGTGTGTGGAAGTTTCAACATCCAGGACTATCAGGGAAGTTATCAATGGAATGTGTACAAGTAGAGCCAGAATTTGGCAAAAAAGAATCTCTCCCAAAAAATAAAAGCTGTATGATGTGTACGTTGGTGGGTAAGCTTAGTGCCTCACCTAATGTTTCTGAGCAAGGAGTCTATTCAGGCAGACTCTCTACCAATTCTGAGCTGTGTGGCCTTCGGAAAGTTTTTAACCCCTCTGAGCCTCAGTTGTCTCAGTTGTCAAATGGATATATTGAGACCTGTTTTCCAGGACTGTTAATGAGAATTCAGCATGACAATGTAGGTAATGCTTAACACTGTTCCTGGTAAATATTAGGGATTCTCTCCTGGGCCTGGTTTCCCTCAGTGGTTCCCACTGGTAATGACAAGCCCTTCCTTGGTCTTCATCTGTCTGTCCTTCACAACAGCTCAAGTAGCTGGACAGAAAGGGAGAAAGGGCCCCTTTAGTCATGGGTGGCAACTGAGGGTAGAGATTGAAGTGTTTTAGAATCACTAGACCTAAGTTGAAATCTTGGCCCTACTACTCACTGAGCCAGGTCCCATTCAGTATGTTGATTTACCTCTCCAAGCCTTGTTTTCTCTTCTGGAAGATAGGAAGGAAATAGACACTTCGTTGTAAGGCGCTAACTAAGATGAAATGCAATGATATGTGTTAGACATTTAGAACAGGACCTGGAAC